CACGCCCCCCCCCCCCCCCCCCGCATCTGTCGAGATTATTTTTAAAAAGAAAAAAAAATTATATTCAAATTTAAGTATGAGAGTGCCATCTCCGGCCATCTTGAGGTGCCATAATAATGAATTTTCTTACGTCAGCCCCAACGATGGTGGGGCTGTGGTGTTATCAACTCTCAATCAATAGTAGCCAAAATTTTCAAACATTGCGGGACAATATCAAGGTGGACCCATTTTACACGTAAATTCAAATAATGTGGACAGTGGTATTTCCTCCATCTATGAAGTCCCTCCCTGGACTCCTATCAGATGCCTAGATCCGCCACCGAAACCGAACGCATCTTTCAGAAATCGATTAAATATGACCTCAAATTATCAAAAATCTGAGCTCCACCACCTCGATCCCAGCAGCAGGGTTCCCCCAAGCGCCACCACTCCCCATCTCCGCATAATTATAGAGGTGCCATAATCATAAATTTTCTTACCTCAGGCCCAACCATGTTGGGGCTGAGGTGTCATGGACTCTCAAACTGTAAAATTCCTTTCCTTCCCCTCCCCCCACCTTTTTATCAAATTCATAAATCCGCCACTGACAGTGGGGGATTCAAGAAGCCCAACTGAATCTAGTTCCCCCTCAATTTTTAAAAATAAAAAAAAATAAAAAAAAAAATGTGAAAAAGAAAATGATATTCAAATTGTATGAGAGTGCAATTTCTGGCCATATTGAAGGTGCCATGGTAATAAATTTTCTTCCTCCAGTCTCCCCATGGTGGGGCTGAGGTGGTATTTCCTACATCTGTGAAAGTCCCTCCCTGCAACCTCCCCTCCCCTCTTCAAATTTCTAGATCCGCCACTGAAAACGGTATATGCTTCTTCAGAATTCGATTAACTAAGACCTAAATTTCCGCCCCCTCTATCCCAGCAGGATCCCCTCCCCCTAAGCGCTCTCCTCCAATTTTGGTCCAATCTCTACAAATTCGCACCCATCCAATAAAAATCCTGCGTACAGGCCTGTTATAGTAGGACTGACAAACTACTGTATCAGAAAATGTGGATGAAGATTAAAAAACTACGAATAAAAAAAACCAAAAAAACAAAAAACAAAGAAAACTTATGAATGTGTGTTAGTAGTTTTTTTTTAAATCACATAGGAACAGATTGAAATTCATGTGGTTTATCAATTAACTGTAAATTACGCAACGAAACACGTGTCCTTGGTTAGGAGTCCTATGTTTTTCTCAAAATGTTAGACCTATACCATTTAAATCTACAATATTTTTGGGCCAGCTGACTGAAGTTACAGTAAAACTTTGCTTATGCTGCCCCTGATAAAACTTGTTTTATTAAACCTATTGTAAATATGTATTGGTATTGGAATAAATATATGAAATGAAATCTTGGTAGAAATCTATTTTATACCTCCATGGTAGCCACGTGGGTGGTGGCTAATCGGCTTAATTTGTGCGTTTGCTATTCATATGTTCGCACTGAGTTAGTATTGTATGCGTTATTGTTAAAAAAAAGCATTGCTTCTTTCATCTGTGAGTGTTTAAAGCAGGTCGGGGTAATAATTGTATAATAATAATATTAATACTGTACATACAGTTATTAATTATAAAAATTGCCATGCTTCATGGTAGTATTTAGTTCAATTTTAATTTTAATTACGAAAAGGTTAACTTTCACTGAAATCGTTCCTAACTACTGTATCCACTAAGCACCATTCCATTTCATTTGTGTTGTGTTAATAATACTGTCCTAAAATTCCGCGTTATACGAATATTCCGGGTTACGAAAACAATTTAAAAGTTCTTATTACAATAATGGCAAATGATTAAATAATACCTGCTTTGATTTTTGATACCTTTTATAAAACTATCAAATTTCAATATCATAATACGCATGATGGTCACTATGTTCTTCTTTCGACACTGACCTTCATAGTAACTGGGTAAACAATCGACTGCCTGCCCGAATCTTCCAATATGCAAAATAGGTTCTGTAGTTTGATTTAGGGTCATTTGCATGTTAGTTTACCAAAAATTGTGAAAAATAAGGGATAAGCATTGAATAGTTTTTAATACTATCAAACAAAATTCTTTTGGAGGTTTACAAACACGATATTATGTCAATGACGTCAGGGGACCAGGTTACAGTATATCGGTATCATGGGCTGACTAAAGGTCACTGTTCACACTTATTCGTACGCGCGCACATCTATTTTACTAGCTAATTGGGTTTTTGTATACGCTGTTTTCGTAGAGTTGTTTTCCAAAATAATATAAAATGGCAGCTGATTTGAAAATATTCATGCAAATTAAAGTATTTCAGATGAACAGCTTTTCCGCTATGTGCTGTCTAGACACAAATATTAAAAACCTTACCCAAGTATTCAGACTAACAAACATTAAAATGAATTAAAATGAGTCAATTTTTATTCCATTTTTTTCCTATTTGAGAGGCTGGAATTTCACTAAAATGCCTCCAACTATTTATGTATTTAGGCCTAGTTGATGCTATGCATGTAACATTAATTGGCAGTCTGTGTTATAGAACTAAATAAAATTCATGAATTTATTTCTGACGTACAAGTAGTGACTATAGTAATATACGATTTCAATAAATGGTATAACAACAATTATTGTCAATTATTTTATTAGAATAGTACGGTATTTCAATTTAATTTTTATGAGTTGGTTGTCATTTCATGTATTCCAAAATGGCTAATATCACATCAAACACCTTATCCAACTCTTTGGAAACTATATCTGAAACTATTTTTTCCCTGTCTCCTAATATTTAGTCAAAACACTCATAAGATCCTAAATAAGAAATACCCTCCCCCATCTTTAAACAAGTTGTTCTTTCATGAAGTTACGTGTAGATTAGTAGAGTATGCTAGGTTCAAGTTTACAAATTTACGTCAATAATAATAAACTACAATAATGTTTTTAACCTTTTGCAGTAATCACAAAAAAGATACTTTTAAAAACATAAAGTGATACCTCTATATTCCATATTATAATATAAAATTAAACTACAGTTTTAAATTTCTGTATGTGGGAATAGCATACGTCGTCTCTATAGCTAGCCGTCAGTAGTAGTGACCTAGTTAAGAATATGACCACGTGACATACTATGTATGCTCCGCCCAAAAGTAAAATTAACTCATGATTGACCAATCAGCAAGCTCGATGCTCTGGGATAATAGTGGCTATTGAAGACAGAACGGTCACTTTGAAAACTTATGTGATACGGGCAGATGTGAACATCTTTGCTGCAGTGAATATCTTAATAATCACGATGAATCCACAAATCTGTATGCCTGACTTCGGCGCTTCCGAAAGTTGTGAGTTTCAACCTATGAATGATTACTTAGGATTGAGTGCCTTACTACTGTCTAGCAGTACTGGTAGTTCATCCAGCAGTGGTGGCTCAGAGTCGACCAGTTTCGAGTTTGATACAGACTTAGATCGTCTGCATTTCGAATTTCGTACCAATGGTATTGACAGGGAACTCGACCCAGAAGACTTCGATTCCTGCTCAGGCTTTCAGGTGAGTGTCCCCGACCCCTTGCCTTGTTTGTACTGTGATTTAAAAACGTAGAAATATCGCTTTTAAGATGGCGTCTTTCAAAAAAGTAAACATGCGATTGTCATTTCGTGGGACAAGTTACCGTACTGGTCCTACTGGGCCAGCCTACACTAGAGTAAATGTAATTTGAATGCATTAATTCAGTACCCTCGCCATTCTTAATGCCCACTAGCACGCGGCGTGAAATAATAAAATCACACGGGTGGTTCATTATTTGTTTATTAAATTTGTAATTAGTTCGGCTAAAAATAAAACCGAATTTTTATTATTTACAGTAACTCCCCGCCAATGATATCCTTATCTCATCAAATTCCACCCCCACCCCGACAAAAAAAAAAAAAAAAAAGAAAACAAAACAAAACTTGGTATTTCCAGACTCGTGAATTGCTTTAAACTCTGGGTTAAACAAAAAAAAAAGAAAACAAAACAAAACTTGGTATTTCCAGACTCGTGAATTGCTTTAAACTCTGGGTTAAACTTTGCTTTAAAATATCAAAACTATGCTCTATTTTTTGCAATACTGATTTAATGCATGTCACTTTAATTATGTGTACAAAACATGTAGTATAATAATATTTACTTTTTTTTTCTCATCAGCCATTTAATCCATTAGAACTGTCTTTCCTGGACAAGAAGGTGAAAGCTGGTAGTTCAAAGAAGGGGCGCCGCCGAATCTCGCCAGACTGGTGTGTGTTTTGTAAGAATAATGGTGAAATGGAAAGCGTTTATATGAGCCATATCCTGAAGAACGTAGATGGGAAAGTCAGATGCCCGATCCTTCGAAAATACACCTGTCCGATTTGTGGAATGAATGGGGACCACGCTCACACAATAAAGTACTGCCCCCATAATCGTGAAGAAGAGAGGCAACAACCAGTAACACTGAGAACACCGCGCACGTCGACAGGATGCAGGAAAGACATCAGAATATCTCAATAGAGTGAATATCAGAATTATTATCTCGTTTACAAAAAAGTAATTTTAACTATTTAACTGTTAATGTACAGTGTTTCTTGTACCTGCACTTCCAAAACTTGTGCCATTTTTTCAAATTTCAAAAAGTGTAAAGTTTTCTAGCTCGTACAATCTTATTTCATCAGTATGCTTTGTCAAAAGCCTTTAATTTAATTCTGTGAATATGTATGTAGAAATTGTACCTCGTTTATTTTTCTTTTAATGACGTTATGTTTTATAAGGTTTTGCCAGGATTTTACCAAATAATAAGAATGTTTCATAGGATTTTAGTAGATTGCAGTTTGTAAATACAAACAATTATTGTAATGGCTTTAAATTTCAAGTGAATATTTAAAAATTAGAAGTGGAATAAATTAATTTGAATTTTACATTTAGAAACTGCCAGTTTATGACCTTGTTATATATAGAAAAAATAGTCCAATGTTCCTACTATGGCTTTAACAAATTTAAAACAATTCCAATAAGAAAACCAAAAAGTTTAATGTATTTATATTACTATTGTATATATGGCACTTTCGTTTGATATATTATTTATAGTTTTTCTTTAATAAACTCGAAAATTGACAAGCTGAAACTGTAGTAGTTGCAATTTACTACAAGTGGTTGGGGTCAGGTGAGTGTTGATTGTGTGTATCATGAATAGAGATGACTTTGTTTATGGTGTTCAGTAACTTGTTCCTGACGTTGACCAGATGAGTGCTGTAAGAACAGACCGGACAAAGAAAAGTACATTCTATTTACAAACAATTATTATACACACATTACAAGCAATATGTCCATTTAATGCTGCTCTGAATGCTTTCAAATGATTAAAGCTGCCATACGTAGAGAGATTTTGCAGAAATGCAGTAATATACAACATTACTACAGTACAGTACTACTACAGGAAGGCTGGCTGCCTGCCTAGGATCAACAACCATTATATCGGAAGTACTTTGTAACAACGAGCGCGCAATGTATTAATAAATGGCGCGCGCACCGCAAAGGACGCATCTGTCTAGACTGAACATTGTTTGGGCCATGGTGGTATTTCTCTTGCATTTAATATTTCGGAAAAGAAACACCATTTTATAGGGACCATCCATACTGTAATTCCAACATTAAGAGTACGAAACACTATCCGTGACCTCTCTGAGTACACAAAAGCAATGTTGATTGCTCATTTTGAGATCAGCATTTGATATTTCTCATAAAAGATTATGCCTACACTATTTCAAGCAATCCCCCTCCCGGCTCCTTGCGTTTTGCACTCATTGAAAATGTTGATAATTATGAATTGGAGCAGTTGCCAGCTTAGTGTTGTACACATTTAATGATGTCAATCTTTACAGTAATGTATAGTTCAGGAAATTAGAAACTATTTAAAATATTTAAAAAAGTGTGAACGTGACCCCATTATTCTTAAACAACGCGTGCGGCAAAGTGTTATAACAGTGCGGAGCGCGGTCTCATGGCATGAGAAATTAAAGTTACAACAGGCCTCTTTATTTGTTCAATCTTTCATTTAATACTTTCTATCTCTTGCATAAATACGATTTAATAATCATAAACTTAATATATTCGATAAATAAATATTGGAAATAAAATAATATAGTTAAAGTATATTAATCAAGCAGAGGCCTACTACGACAACAGTGGTGGATTCAACCCCACACCCCCACTCATTTCTTATTTAAAAATTATAAATAAAATGGAGAAAAAAATTAAAATTATTAAATTAATTATTAATTAAAATTTATGTTTGAGAGTGCCGTTTCCGGCAATCTAGAGGTGCCATAATCATACATTTTCTTACCTCAGCCCCAACCATGGTGGGGCTTGAGGTGGTCTACATTGGCGGATCTGGAGGGGGTCAGGGGTCCTTATCCCCTTGGGGAAAAAAGAAAAAAAAATGGCTAGACCCCACTACTTCTTTCAGGAACTGTGACCTGATTTTTTTTTTCTTAGGCCCCTATAATGGGAAAATTAAAGTCAGGAAAGCCCATTTTCTACCTTCTAGGAAGCAACATTTTTTGGGGGAGGACCCCAACGCTATTTCTTTGTTCATCGATTCATGAAAAAAAGAGTACGTATGCAACTACTGTACTTATTTTTTTTTTCTTTTCTGTATACAGTATATACCGGTACACACATAATATGCCTATTTACTGCAAATATATTGAGACAAATTTACCTGGCCGTTTTCAAGAGGGGTAAACTTTGAATTTTTAAGAACTTAAAACTCATTAAAAGACATTTCAGGAAAGCTCATTTCCCGCCATCTAGGAATCAACATTTTCCAGACCCCCGTTCTCTTTGGAGCTCATCGATTCAAGGCAAAAAGAATACGTATTCAACTACAGTACTCAATTCTATAATGTATATACTGTACATACATAGGCCTATGAGGGTGAAAACCTTTAATTGTGAAGAACTTCAAAGTCATTAAAAGACACCTCAGAAGTCGGGAAAGCTCATTTCCCACCATATAGGAATCCAAATTTTCACGGGGAGGACGCCCCCCCCCCCTTTCTTTGGGGTTCATCGATTAATTAATGGGTAAAAAGAATACGTATATGCAACTACTCATTTTTATTTTCTGTATGTAGATCTATACCAGTACACAATAATAGGCCTATTTACTGTAAAAAAGAATGAGAAAGATTTATCCGACCGTTTTCAAGAGGGCATAAACTTAAAATTTTGAAGTTAAGTCGTTAAAAGACATTTCAGAAATCGGGAAAGCTCATTTCCCGAAATCTAGGAATCAAAATTTTCCCGGGGGAGGACCCCCTTTCTTTTTGGGGTTTTTTGGAAACATTTTGAGCCCCCTTTCCCGTAAATTTCAACCAAGATCCGCCCCTAAGTGGTCTACACTCTCCGCCTGTGAAAGTCCTTCCATGGACCCCACCCTCTGTTTCTAATTTCCAGATCCACCACTTTACAATATTATACAGTACTGTACTGTGTACGGTATAGGCCTAATATTAATAATAATAATAATAATAATAATAATAATAATAGAGTATATGATGGAACGACTCGATTACATCGAAGAGAAAACGATAAATTAATAATAGTAGAACGGGGTGGGGAGCGGGGGATATATTCTAATGGTATAGGTACACATTATCACCATCATTATATAATTAGGCCTAATAGAAAAAATGTTACATTTCTCAATGACAGGTCTTTTTTTCCTGAATGACTAAATTTTTTTTTTTTATTTTTTTTTTTTACATACAGTACGATCAACAAAGTCAAGTATTAGTATCCGTGGAGCTATGATTGTTTTATGGCCTTTTCCGTTTGATTACCTCTTGTCAATTCATTATTAATTGCTAATCTACACACTACTCCGTGGTATTTTCTTCGAGTGCTGTCATCGTCCTCGATTCTAGGTGGTTTTAAGTTGAGACAATTTATGCCATGTTTAGACAGAAATCCCAATGGTGTATGGCGATTCCAGGGTATCTTCATCTTGTAAATCAATCAACGCCACGTTTGGCGCCACCGATAAGGGGACGAGAGAAATGCAAAGCGTAAAGCGCCACAGAGCGCTGTAGGCGGTATTTGGGCGCTATATCAATCACTTGTTGGAGGACCACTAACAACGTGTACATTATAATTAATTAATTCATTGAAGTCTAGGATTCTAAACGGTATGGGTGCAGTGGTGAAGGACCGTCAGAAAATATAACACTGTATATAAAAAAAATAGGTCTTCTTCCCGCCCAATTGCTGATTTGACACAATGACCTACTTAGCGCTCAAATAGCTTTAAAATTGAAAATTGTCCTCGTTAATTTAACAGAAGTTAAAAAAGTAATACTGTATAATTATTTATATTGGCCTCGGACAATTCAGAAAATGTATTAATATTAATGAAATACGTTATACTTACTAGAAACTGAATTATATAAAAAAAGTAAATATAATATTTTGGAAACTACCAAAACATTACAAATTGTGTACTCGAAATTGAATATTAAAACCAATAACTGGTTGCCTGAACGACAAGTGGTAGAAGTGGCGCTGTACTTCAAAGCATGTTCAAAGGCAGCGCGTCCCTGTGGCTTGCAATACACACTTGTGAACTCGCATGTAGGCGGGGCGGAAGAGTTGTTTATTCCACTGAAAGAGGAGAACTGTGGAACGCCTAGCCTGACCCATCCAAAATTCTCGTAATCGAGGGTCGGCTTTTTTAATGCAAAACATTTAAAAGCCAAAAATGATTCCAAAACTAACATGTTGATTAAAATGGCACTTTTTAATAAAGCATAATGCACATGCTGTTGTGGGATTTTACCGACTATAGACATGTAAAAAATACTTGTTAGTAGCCAGTCTATTCTATAGCGTTTTACAAATCACAAACCCAAATTGTTTCAATCAGGCCTGACTTCCATGGAAATCAGAACAGTATCTAGTAGTTTGAAATAGGGACTAGCGGGGGAGGGGGAGGGGGTGCGCCAGAAGGCCTGGCCTAGCGATGGGGTGAATTCGGTCCCTTCATTACGAGACTGATTCTGGTGAGTAAAAGCAGACCACCTCCTTAGGACTCCAGAATGTAGGAGTATAACTTGTGACAAATCGTCGCTCACATCACGAACAGATGTGTATAAGAGACAGGTGCAGTTGTTGCGTATGATAAAATTGGTATAGAAAGAAACTATTAACAACAACTTAATTTTTGTCTACCACAATGTTTAATTTATTCAATTAATTGCTATTCTATTAACCATTTATTGTAGATATTTTAGTTTTGGTGTACGTAAGTAAGTATACGAGTTTGCATTTATATTTATATTTATATTATGTTTTCTACTTGAGATTTGTTGTACATTGTACTTCAACAATCCACCGATTTTCTGTCTTATTACTAGAGTGTTTTGTTTTCGGTGTGTGTGATTTTGTCATTCATTGTTTCTTTAATGAGGTGTAAATCTACGATGCCATCGTTTAGCCATCAATTGTCTCATCATACAACACTACATTTATTGGATAACACTTTTATAATGGCACACGTTAGACAATGCTAACGGTGCATCCAAAAATAAACATACACATATTCAAAAATTGACAAAAATAAATAATAAAATTCTTAACTTAAAACCGAAAAGTCCACTGATTAATATTCCCAAATAAGAAGTATGATACATACTCCAAGTACTGAAATGCACGCCATCAATGTTTCGACATCAGGGATGTCATGCCATCAGGAATCTAAGGCGCCCTGTAGGTTATAGTATTCAACCTTTTTAAAAGCTGGGGGCCAGTTGCAATCTATTGAGGCCACCGGCGGGCCGACCGACCATTTACTTCCAATCACCGACCCACTTTATAGCCTTACAAGTCTTTCTATAGGCCTATAGCCTTGGTTTTTTGATATCATCGAAGATAAGCCTTGTTTTGTAAAAATGAGGGAACGCAGTTGGCATAGGGAAGGGTGGAGGATACAACATATATCATATCAACAAAATATAAAAAAAAACAGAGGTATATCATTACATTAGCCATAGCTGAAAAAACTCAACCTAGCAATTGGTAAAGCACTCCAAAAGCAAATTATATGCTATAGTACATTGTCTGATAAATATGCTACTTACTGATATTGGTCTGATATAGTATAGGTGGTTGTAGCAGTTTCAAATCCTAAATATCACCATTAGGCCTATAGCATTGATATTTAAAAATATTGGGGCTAAGTTATAGTATTCAACCTTTTTAAAAGCTGGGGGCCAGTTGCAATCTATTGAGGCCACCGGCGGGCCGACCGACCATTTACTTCCAATCACCCACCCACTTTTTTCCCCTCAAATAAACACCGGAAATATCACATTCAGACTGTAAAGACACATCAAAGCAGTGTTTTCAACAGAATGACACGCCCCGGGCCTGCTCCACGGATCCGCCGCTGGGGCCGCTAATGGTTAGACACACATCATATCAATGATCCCCACTGCACTTAATCATTTATCCCCATCAGTCTCCCTCTCCCCCATTGCCATTAGGACAAGAATCACCAACCCGTCTCCTCTCCCCATGGCAAGACACTAGATAGATATAACGAGCTACATTAAGAACACTAATTGCTGAAGTTGTACTAGTCATGTTTTTATTAACATAAAAACTTTTTTTGTATGATTATTTTTTAGCGATGTTGCGTGGGCCGGAGCGAAATCTTTGGCGGGCCGGAGTTTAGGCCCATCACCCTATCTAGGCTGAAAAAGTGATGAGGGACGGAGGCTTTTTATTTTGTTTTATACTGTACTAAAGCCAAATATCACCCTTAGGTTGTTTGTTGGTGCATTGATATTCAAAGTCAAACAAAACAAGATAATAAAAACAATATCTACTAACTATTTACTAAACAAAAAAAAGGGGAAACAATATTTTTTTTTCTAATAAAAAAAAAATGTTTTTTTCAAAAAATATATATTTTTTTCAATACCATAGAAGACATGCGGACTAGGGTGATAAACTCTCTGGTCAGGTGGCGTTGCTGTGCCTTGACATCTTCTTCTGTCTAATAATTTTGTTATTGGGCCATTATCATTATTCACTCCTGATGATGACATAATTAATGTCGAAATACTGAATCCCAACATGAAGGCGTGCATTTTAATACTTGGACTATGTATTATACTTTCTGATTTTTAACTAAATAAAAAGAGATTTGTATATTCAGTAGCTCATACCAAGAAACTACAGTACAGTACTTGTCTACGCTTTCACACACATTTTTAAACTACAGAGGGCTCACTTCACTTTCTTTCCAAAGAACACAAACTGACAGTCTATTGTAAAAATTGTTCACTCCAGCTGTATTTTTTCGATAGTTTTTATTGCACAATAACCAAGATATAAAAAATAGATTAATTGAAATAATATTCATCATTTTCACATGATTTCATAATTGACTCAATCGAAATTCAGGAAAACAAAAACTGATATGATAGAATTTTTTTTCTAACACCTGCAAATGGGAACCGAAGTAGGCATCTTTATCTCTTTGAAATTAATTTCCTTACACCTAAACCAATACTATTATCTTGGAATACTTAATTTTCAAAAAGTTAAAAAAAAAAACATTTTCAGTTGAGTTTAAAAAGTATATTGGGATTAATTGTATCAGTTTACATAAAATAGAAATATGCACAGTATTATTAATGCATTATGAGAACAATCACAATAGACCTTTCCGAAGTGTCAATCAAACTTGCAAACCGACCAATCAGAACAGTGCCAGATTGGCATGTGCAACAAACACATGTGTTGTCCAACAAACCCACTTGTTTGTGTATGTTTTTACCCTGTCGTTTTATGGGACCTTATGTACATTTATTACCTGTTAATAATAACATTTAATAATATTAGGAAAGACTGGCAGATGCAGAAAAAACACACTTAAAAAAAAAAAAAAAATTAAAGCATTAAATTACTCAATTAAAACCTTGTCCACACTATCAAATTTTGTGACAAATCGTCGCTCACATCACGAACTAACACAATCAAAGTAGATTGTGTTAGTTCGTGAAATCACAGTAGCGTGTCAAAACGAGCGCGTATTGGTTGTCAAGCAATTTTGTGTTCTTTACCACACAAAAAGTCCTTAACGACAGCAGCGCGTATTTTGACGCGCTTTTTTGATTTCACGAACTAACACAATTGAATTTAATTGTGTTAGTTCGTGATGTGAGCGACGAAATAAATGTGATGTGTCCATACTTAGGTGTAAATGACAGAGCTTTAAGCTCGGTACGCACTATCAACTTTTAAGTGACAAATAAATGTGATATGTCCATGTTTGGGTGTAATATGAGCACATCACACAAATTGTCACATAAAATGTGATAGTGTCGACAGAGCTTAAAGCTCTAATGTCATATTATACCCAAATATGGACACATCACATTTATTTGTCACATGAAATTTCATAGTGTGGACAGGGCTTAAAAGTTATCAACTTCTGATAAGACAGAGATCAAAATAATTCTGTTTCTGTTGATGTTTAGATTTTTTTTTTTACCACAAAATTTCTTTATATTGATTATCAGCCAATTTAGGAGGTAGTGCAACATGAATATTCATAAGGTAATTAACATAAAATGGTTAGTCACTACGTCACCAAGTGATCTACCAATTGGCAGGTTCATGGCAACCATTCCCGCCACCTCTCCCGATCTAAAGCCGCTGTCTTTATTATCTATATGTTAATAAATATATTTTCTTATTTTAATTTTTATAAGCCATCAACCTAATTAAAGATATACAAGGAAATTCAAGTACTGTAATAAATTGTATTTTTATAATTATTTGTACAGTACCAACAATAAACTTTGACTATGTGATACATGAAAAAGAGAATGTAAAATAGAGGAAGGCCTAGGTAGGAACATCTCACCATCTAGAGTGGTATACAGTAATATGGCAGTGTGCAAAGGTATCAAGTTGGGGGAAGCCGCTTCCGGATGATCTGCTTTAGCAAGCTCTCTGAACGCATCTCAAGTTGGAAGTGATGACTCGGCAGAAGGCTTATGACCCCTGAGTGTGTGAGAGCAAACAAAAACTTGGAGGTGTTTGTTGCAGTCTGTTCCAAGACAAATTCCCCAGCTAACGAGTTTTACCTACCTGGGGATGGTAAGGTGCTGAAGAACAAAATGAGAGCATAATTTTTTGATTCGTTAATCAAACAAATAATTCAATTTAATTGCCTCCTAATGCAAAGATACGCCCATCAGCTGCAGCTATGATTAAATCTTTACTTTCAACGTTGCAGTTACTGTGTTCATTCAAGCATGACGTACTAGAAATCCCGATCAACTGTCCAACAACAGGCCGATCATCTGGAGTAGCTACTAACCACAGCAATTCTCCCGTCTTCATATCTACTAGTATTACATAATGTTTCTGAGTACGAGGTGGCAGGCAGTGAGCGGTAACACAAGAGACTGCTAGTAAAATGTAGTCTCCATCAATCGACCTGGTTTTCCCTGCTAAAATCTTCGTTACAACCATCATTTTTGATGTCAACACAACCTCTTCACCAAACACTGTTGTTAAATCTATCTTCTGAAGAATTTTTCCATTTTCCCCGTCTATTTTATACACGGTTGTGTTAGTTGTGGCCAAAAGGTGAACAGATCGGACTGTGCGAGATTCCGATGTGGATGTACCAACAGCTGAGCTTAATGCAATAAAAGAATCCTTAATCGTGAAAAGAATTTGGTAATCAGATCCAGTATCATTAAACCCATATAACACTGTCTCTGATTGGTCAGAATTTGCTGAAGGTAAATAATTCACTGAATTAGTATAGTCCAATTGCACATCGCCTCTCATGCCAGCTACAAAATTGTCATGTTGAGTATTTAAGGTTAGAAATATCATTGAACCTTTAGTGAGCATACTATATTGGTTTTCACTTGAATGGGTCTCCTTGTTTTTTGAATAATATTTACTTGTCTTACTAAGATTTATTGCTTGAGTACTTTCAGACTTTTGAAGTGCAGGATTCCAACTGTTGTTGAATGTATGAAACCAGATTGTCTTCATTCTGTCAACGGCTTGACGTAAAATATCGACAGCATATAACCTGTAAATTGGTGCATCACTCTGAAATAAGAAAATGTACATTAAAACTCTGACCGCCAAACATGGAGATCTCCGTGTTTTCGGTTTTTTTTTACGGAATCCGATAGATGGGGTAATTACTGACATGTAATAAAAATTTGAACACTATATTCAGTCTGGACTAAGTATTTCTCTATTTTGTTTGTTTACATTAGCGTAGAGGGGTATTTATTTACTTCCATGAAATCGCGATTATCTCAGCTTCGTTGTGCGAAATTGTGTAAATCTCCAAATAGTAAGTCATTTTCATTTACTGTTACGGGTCACAGATTGCGATTAGAATAAAGTGTTTGGTACCATTGTAAAGCTAAGGTGTTTGTAGTTCTTGTAATATTCACCATATGTCAATCTGATCACATACGCACTCTCAACAAGCTTCGGAAAAGTGTTAAAATTTGCTAAAAAGTCTGACGGTGGCCTATACTATTTTTTCAAACCCTGTTGTGGTCAGAGTGTTAAGAAAAGTTTTTATTATTTTATTATCAAATATATAATAGATTCAAAATTTAAATATTTATGTTACAGGAGTAAAGAAAATACTGTAAAATGCTAATGGAGGAAACAGAACTGGATGGGGGAAGATATGTGGGGGAGTGAGAGGATAGTGATGAGTCACTAAAAAAAATTATTTTTATTTATTTATTTATATAGGTATAAAATTAAAGTCAGGCTCCGCAGGAAAAAAAAATTTTGATATGTTGTAGAACTGATTTTTCTAAGACAGAAAATGGTTGTTTGACGAAAAACTGAGCAATGGTGAATGAGATACAGATTTTTGAATATTTAAAAACTGGGGGAACAAAGTGTAAAAATGGGCGGTTACGCCATTTTTTCCCCACAGTTTTTAAATATTCAAAAATCTGTATCTCGTTCACCGTTCCCCAGTCCCCAGTTTTTAGTCAAACAACTTTTTTCTGTCTTAGAAAAATCAGTTCTACAACATATCAAAAAATATTTTTCCTCCGGAGTCTGACTTTAAAAACATTAAAAAAAGATGGTCAGCTGCACAAGGTTGAAACAATTGAATTTACACCGAAAAATGTTGGTCTTTGAAAAGCTATTATATAATAATAATTAAACAACTATATTATAATCATTATACTATAATTAGAGAAAAATTAGCATCTAGGTAATATTAGCATGTATTTCATTAATTTGAATTTTCATAGGTACCTTTGATTTATGCCCTCTGGAGTCTGGTCTGAACTGAGTCAGGAAGTAGGCTCGGTGTCCAGATACCACTGGTGTGATGATAGGAACAAATGTCCCATTCACTCCATCAATAGACGCTTTCAAAAAAATAGAAGCATGAATTATGCCATCTGAAAAGGAAAAAACCAATCAAAATAGACATTTTAAGTACAGAAATTCAATAATTTTCTAGTTAATTTCAGTACATTTAAGTTCGGGGACCAGATATTTTTAATGTTTGTAATACAAGCAGTGAATTTTCATAATGGAGGAATCAAGTTATTCATCTTATCTTTTGTGATAAATTCTCTATGATTTTTGGAATTCATTAAATTAAAAAAGAATGCAATCAATTGGAGTAATTATTTCCAAATAGTTAAAAAAAATATTCAACATTAAGTTACATGAAATTATACTATATTTTTTAAATAATTGAACAGAATTTGATCCATATACAGTATTGTAGTACCTGCAACTTGACAAATGAATACAATTATTCAACATTAAGTTACATGAAATTATAATATATTTTTCTTATAATTGAACAGAATTTGATCCATATACAGTATTGTAGTACCTGCAACTCGACAAATGAATACAAGTTTAGAAAATTGTTAAGTGAACATTAATTCAATTTCATTTGAACTTACTCATAAGGTAGGTGACTAGTTTGCCATCATAACCAGAGATGATAAAGGCATCATTGTCTGTCAGTGTTAAACTGTATGGAAAAAAATACATCAATAATAACATTAATAATAATAACAATAATTAAGAAAATAACATTAGTATGAATAATAATAATAAAAGTAATGATGATAATAATAATACAATAATAAAATTAATAATAATAACAATAATTATTAGTAATAAAGCAATAACATCAATGATAAGTGAGTCATGACATAATGCCATGCTTATGTTTGCATATTAAAAAATTCAGTACAGTGGGTAAGTATAGTTGGATTTATATAATGCTTTATATAACGAAGTCTAGACTTGCCACAAGTCTCTTATTTTTTTATTATTTTTCTCATTCTGGACAGCGCCAACAACGAGAAAGTTAATTTAGAGACAGAATAATCTGAAAAAAAAAAAAAAGAAATCGAGTATGGGACGCCAATTAAATTAGGTTTGGCGCAACAAAGAGTGAGTAACCCAAAATTAGCTACTGAGCTACAGTACCCGGTAAACCTGTATCAGCTATCTCTCGTTTGTCCACAACAGGGACTATATGAACCAGTACACCACAGTAACCCCTCTACTCGTCTCGAAAGATGTATTGGGTTGGGTGCCAGCGACGAGTATACTCGTCCCATAGGGTGTTGCTGAGGGCGCCAGGGACGAGTATACTCGTCAAAATCGGGGTAACATTCTAGAGTTTATTACTTCTTTGTTATACAATGTAGAACCACAGACTCAACAGCTGGTAGTTTGGGAAGATACACCTGGGCGATAACGTACAAATGACGTGCATGTTTGCTGTGTTATGTCGCCGGTAAGTACACTCGAGCAGTGGGGCGCCCTTTGAACATATACCAACCAATGCAAAAAGCGGGTAACCTGCACTTGGCATAGTCAATAAAAAGTGCTATCACAGTGCCGTCGATGAATAATATTTTTCCGCCAATTTCTTAGACACATCATTTTTATGATATACTGTATGATGTTTGAAATTCTTTTGGCACACAAGAACGAACCTTAAAAAAAGGTCTGGCAGTCAACGTGTTAAAGTGCACATGAGCCAAATTGTGTACACCGGGCCTACGGTTTATAGTCCTTATCAAGAAGACTTGTTCCACCACCAGAACCATAGGTGAGCGTGCCGTTCGAACCAGCACCGATATTATGGCTGTACGTTGCGGCGCCCCTGTCTTAACCGCTCGGCCATTCGACCTATCAATGATACAAGTTTTCAACCAGTCACCTGAATACTGGATTCATGGGCGGTGAGAAAGGAATCGGTGTTCCTCGAAGATGGCCTTCACTGTCAAAAGGCACAAGCAAGCTCCCATCGCAGGCTATCGTGTTACTGTAGAAATCCATCAAGGGCATGCTGGGGAAATGTAACAGACTGTCACGCCAGACCAACTCACCACTCTGCGCGTCAATGCCTACAAGTCTGTGAAATTAAGAGTTAAAACATGTTAATTCAATAATCTATTGACTTAATTTTTCTGAAAAATTCCCAAATTTTCGCTATTAATTTGATGCATTTTGTTATGAACAAAATATTACACAATTGTAAATATAATATAGGCTTACAGTACATGATGCAGATTTTATGGTTTAGTATAGTAACAAAAATCTCCTACTACTGGGGAAGTGTTAAGTGTGCTACGATTGCATAAGGAGCCCAATAAGTGAATGCATCCTTCCAACGAGCAACAGGGGTTACATTACACATGCTTGCAAGAGGGGAAATTTCCCCACCAGTGACCTTTGACCTGACTCCTCCATAAGGGCCTACATACACAACCATTATTCTCAGTGAAGACAGTTGCAGTAAAAGTAGCCTTGTTGTTATTTCTTGTCAACTAGGCCTAGGCCTTATTAGTGGACATGTAATTTCGAGAAAAGAACGTTAGGATATTAGTTTTATCATTAACTTACGTGGAGTTAGCTGTTCGTAGGGGACACACTATCCTATTCGATATTCCAATGCAACCGAGATCTGGGTCCCCGGCTAGGCCTTGGTTATTCTGCCATCTCAAGGTTACATTTGAAAGAGGTGGGTTGCCAGAGAAAGAAAATCCTCCGCTAGGATCACACGCTATAAGTGGACAGCCGCTTAGGCCTAGTGTTTGCTGGCACGACCACTCGAAATACGTAGACGTTATAAGCAAAATGATGCTCCATTCAAAATAATAGTGCACAACGATATTTAATATAGCCATACCAAAGGCCATATACAAACAAAGATAATTTATTATTACACTAACTTGATAAACAGAGCAGGTTCATCGAGCGCAACATCAAACATTGCTGTCATTATTTTTTGTTATTGGATTAGCGCCCTCATAAGTGTCATTAAAGTTCATTTGCAATTTCATACAGTACTCTGCACTGAAAATTTGATCATGTACATAATTTATATTTCATTATCAATCAGCCCCTGGCTCTTTTGAAAATGCAAAAAGAAAGAATTTTTAAGAAATTTTACTGCTGACAAGACACATGCACAAATTACTGGTTTCCTAATTACAACTTGAAAAATATCAAAATTGCAGTGATAAGAGTGTGAGAGGTTTGTTTGTTTGTTTTTATTTGTTTCTCCACACACAACATAAATAGTACAATGTATTCAAACTTCAACTAACATTACAAAAGTAGATAAGACAAAAAAAAAAAAAAAAAAAAAAAAACATACCAAAAAATAATCAGAAGCATGGAAATACATATGCATATACAATATAATATACACATACATATCACACATACACACACACACATACATATATACTGTAAATTAGATATTAAATAAATGTGTGGATGGAGGCCAATATAAGTTTATACAAACTTATGGCCACCAGTTAAAATTGAATAAATAAAATTGAACTTAATGACGTACAGATGATTACATATTTTTAAATAATCACAGGTTGAAGAGCATGGGTGGGACAAGTGAGACAATCCCACCGAAAGCAGGAAAATTTATGCCTATAATAAAAATAAATGAGTCTGTATCATACTGACCTCTGTTAATTGCATTGGAACTAGCGCTGTTCAACTATGCATATGCAAAAAGGGTAAAAGATTAGTTGCTTTAATTGGATTTGGAAAGAAACACCAGACCAGTAACTCAAACACAAACGAAAGTAACAAAATTATTGTATTTACTATTAGGTATTCTTTTATTTCTTCTTATTTACAATGAAAAATAATGACATTTTGATCAAACCCTATTTCCAGAAAAAAAGGTGTGATAATTTATTTCAACTTAAAGAGGATACATTCAAAACAAAAATAGTGTTCCATGTAGTGCTTCCACTATTACCATTGGCAGCATGGAGAGTTTTATGGCATATGTGATATCAAAATTATAATTAAATAACATTTGCAGGTTTATGCTAGGCCTGCTGATAACAAGATCCTCAAACACCTTAAGTGTATACAAAATAATGAAATAATATAATGGGCACCTGCACGTTTGAACCCTTCAAGCAACTTTAATCGAATCCATGTTATTGCTGCAAATTTCATAAAAGTGCTAAATATAAATTCAATATTTTACTCTTGTTTATTTTGTTTACGTTGATGCCCTAGCGAGATTTGGTATTATTCACAATACATTTTAAATGTATTAAGAAGTCAATAAGTTATATTAATAGTATCAATGGCTTATGTACATATTTATATTCATTATATATTTTGTGTATATGTAGTATCCTTATGGTTGTGTGCAAATTATCGAAGAGATATCAAAATGATATCTTTCAATTTAACCAGGCATTACCTTTTACTAATTTTTTTGTGATATTCATCTGTGTAATAATAAAAGTTCAGCTACACACAATATCTGTCTCTTATACACATCTAGATGTGTATAAGAGACAGTACACACACACACACATATATTGATATATATTTATGACATGTATAATTAAATAAAATACATGAAAACAAAACTGACAACATTCCAATAGCAAGATACACTGTAATTTTGATGTACCTTAAGTACTTAATTCAGAATACTTGGAAGTCACTGTTAATAGACACCTAATGGTTAACTTGGTCCATTGGAAATGATTTGGACCATATTCCTGGATGACAGACACAACTAATGTGACATTCTAAAGTACCATCACATTATGTATTAACACCAATTTGCATTTACCATTAACTTAGAAATATTATTTGATACAGTCATTCTAAAGTATCATTTATATATACCACAATTTCGCATGTACTTACAAATATATTATATATTTTGATAGAGTTATTATTGTTTTCAAGGGTTTTGAAAATATTGCAGTAAATATTAATCAAAAACAAATAAATATCACCTTAAAGATCTGAAGTTTGGTAAGATATTGAAGTTAAAATGTTGAACTGAATATAAATTAAGTTTTTATAAAGTGCATTTTTAAAACAATACTCAAATTAACAAGTTCAACAATCACTTAGATCGAAATACAATAACTTATTATTGTATTTACATTACTGAGACGAATTATAGTTTCCATTTCCATAGATATAAATACAATACAAAGCACCATAAATATATTACTTTATTATTAAAACTTATCAACCAAATAATATATACAAAAAAGGAACTCAACAGAAATGAAGTACATTCCATCTTGATGCACAATCCTGTCTAGAGGATTTAACCAGCAAAGTTTTTGAGAGAGGGAATTTGGTGGGGTGGTGGGAAGGGGTAGTGGGTGTACTGTATATTAGGCTTGCCATCACAAAACCAGCATATTGTCGCTAAATGTTAAACTGAGTAATTAGCATAAGAATGTAGCATTATTGCATACTTTAGCACAGAGAAGCTGTAATACTTTTACTCATAACTTTGGCAATAAGTCGATTCCAGTAAGTGACCCATCATTCAAAGCTTATATTGATATTGTGGATAATATGAATATATAACAAAAAAAACAATTTTCTTGTTTTGGTCACCAATGCTGGTTTTGGGATGGTAGGTACTTTCACAGATAGTGGGTCTAGACCACCTCAACCCCACCATGGTTGGAGCACCTAGGCTGGCTGCGTCCTCTGAACCTGCCACTGACCTGGTTAATGAGATTTCTTAACACATTTACTTTAATTTTTCTGCACATAGTGATACAGTACCCATTGGCACTGTTTCCGTGAGAAAATTGATAATAAAATAGTGATAACATGCAAAATTATGAATTTGCGGAGATGGGTTAATTTCTGGGGATTCTTGCTTGCTTGACGGAATGCAGGAGGCCGTCCCGATTTCCGGGAGACTCCCACGAGTTCCACGAGACTTGGGACCTCTGCATTTCCAAAAAGAGAAGCCAGCACACTCTTTTTCAAAAACATGTCATACCGATAGTCATGCTATAATATATGTGGAATATGCATGTAAAATAACCGTATGACCAACTGTTGATTATTTTTAGTGTCATAAAATTAGAAATAGTAGATGAGTGATATTATATAGGACAATCATTCCTTACAATTACAAGCGAGACATCACATACATGTACTTCTCTTTTTTCTACATTATTAATTCAGTATAATATACAAAAGAAACCAAACATTGATGCTAAAAATTCCAAAATTTGGTCACAAAGGCTTAATTTTTGTATTTACCACAAAGTTACAAGTACTTAGAATGTAGACATACCATCTTAATGTTTTGTTTTTTTTTATAAATATAATTTATCCTTATTCCAGACTTATGATAGATTTCCCAAGATATCAATGATTACTCAACTGTTACCTGTAGAAAAAGGAAAATGTTGTGCTACTTTCCAGAATACCCATAATTCATTAGGGCAGACCATCAAGCATGTCTTTAAAAAAGTTATTATATATTTTATTAACATTCAAGATTATAAAAAACTTGTGCAGGATTAAAAAAAAAAACCCACATTAATCTTCAACTGTAATGAGCATTATGGTGTTCCAATACACTACTACATATGACACAAAGTGTTCATCAGAAGTACAGCAGAAAGAACATGACAAGGACAGAGTAATTAAACCCACCAACATCCATGGCAACCACAGTTCAGATTACAAAGGCAGTAAATAAATGACATTATCCAGGTGTATGGTATCTATTGACTAATCGCGGGAGAGCTTGATGTTTTAATTAGGCATTGTGTCATTTTTTTTCTTTTTTGATGGTACGCTCTCCTATTTTTCTGATTCACCTCACTTGAGGTACGACAACCGATTTTTAAAAATAGTACATCATGAATTTCGATTCTTTTTTTCATGTCACGTAAGCTCTGCCAATTGCTTCGATAAACAATGGTGCGCCCTCATTTGCTCTTATACACCTCAAGTGAGGGTTGCTAAGCAATTTGTTTATCGCACATAATGTCACATCAAATTCTTGAGTGTGCGTCCTCATTTGCTCGAATCCCAATATGAGTTCTGCAAATTTTTATTCAATCGCAAATTGTTTCCAGATCTGCTATGTTACCTCTCAAATGAGTTCTTTTAGCACACATCACACAATTTCGCTTTCTGGAGAATTTGTTCTCTTTTACTCTGATATAATTCACATCAGTCAATCAATCAATCAAAAAAGTATTCTTGTCCTCCTCCTCTCCAGTTCTATGATTCACATTTTAGTCTATGAAGTGCCTTTTCATTTTATCGGACGTGTCATTTCACTTTCTTGACAGTGCGCCCTCCTCTGCTCCGATCCATTTCATGTGAGGTAATCCTTGCTATTTCATTTCCTAAAGTTTCAATACTCTCCTGTGAGGGACAGAAAATAAATAAGAAAAATATTAGGTAGGAAAACAAGATTATTTTGAACAGATTCCATACAAACGCTGCCTGGTATCCAAACTTTTAGATATGGTTGTCCCTACTTCAGCGTAGCTAACTTGACGACCCACTATCCATTCAACTCACTTTTTAATGAAAATTTTTTTCTCATTGGAAAAAAATTCTATTTTGATTAAAGGTGTGTAAGAAGTCATTGTCATCAGAAAAAGAAGGTGGTTTGTATTATGGTGTGATAGTATTGTGACCAATTAGTGAGCTGGATTTTTAATGATACTGCTTCCTAATTATCATTCAGCCTAGTAGTAGCATCAGGGTATGCCCAATGGGGGTGGGAAGATGTTCCTAGGGGAAAGGCTGCCTTTGGTCAAAAATCAACAAATGTCTTTATCTTTATTATTCTTATCAGAGGCTAGAGCTACTAAAAGACCATGGAACCCCCTGTCCCAGAACTTGTCTTTAATTGGAGAGAGACCTGTAGTATCAACAACAAACCAATTTCTATCTATATTTTAAGCAACCCACCTTAAGTGTTATATTTTTCAGTAATGTGTCTTCTAAAACAGCTTGTAGTTTGCGGTTGATTTCCAGCGACAGGTCAAGGTTCATTGAGGGGTCAGATTGCTGGGATTTGTAAAGAGATGCCATTATTCCACCTTGCCTTGACATCTTTGCCTACATATTAAATAATTTAAGAATACTGTAATAGTAATAATACCCGCAATAAAAAATAGCAAAAATACATAAAAAATACAATAATAACAATAGCAATGACAATAGCAAAGGCAATCACCTGTTTGGTGTTTTTTGTTTTTAGGTTTTTTTAAAAACTCATTTGACCTTGAAAATGGTTCCATGATGGACCCGAAATGTCTATCCTTTTTGTCATTAAATGAACCCGCCGTCCGTCAACAGTGGTGATTTCGAATAAAAATTTGGCCAATTAGCGCACCCACTGCCAGAAAAAAAAATGTAAATTTTACAAAAAAAAAACGCCCTCCGCTGCTTTGAAAAATCTCCAAAAATAAGATATGTATATCTCTTCCTAAATATATAAATTTAAAGCATTTAACCATCCTATTACTACACTGTTTACATTCACCAAAAAAATTTTATTTTTATTTTCTCCTCCATCTAGATGTTTTTGGCAAAAATATTTGCTAAATGAAAAACTATAATTTTATTTTTATTTTTTTCCGCCCTCATCTGATGATCTTTAAAAAAATAAGTTTGTGAAACAAGTAAAGGTAAAAAAAAAGTCTTGCCTTATCAATGTTGAAATATTTACAGATATATTATAATATTAGTAATGCACAAGATAATGCTATTTCCTGACATTTATGTATGCATTACCTTATTAATATCGCTTGCAACTGGAACCAATGCCCCCGATTCCTCTCGAAGAACGTACATCTGTATAATTCTGTGAAATTAATGTAAGTACAGTTATTTCAATTCCCTCATGCTTTTTTTTAATGCTGTAAGTTAAGATTCTTAAATAGTCCATGAAGATTGTTAGATAGAGTGACAACAGAATGTGAAATTGAGTACCAGAGCTAAAGATTTCTGAGAACATCAGATTTTATATGAGTTACTGTAGTAATACAGGCTAGAATGCAATCATAATGTCAAAGATAAAGGCCTGTTTATACTTCAACGATAACTATAACGATAAAAAAGCTAAAAAGCGATTGTTCATATAGAAAACAAAAGAAATAGGAGAAGTTTTTACGCTAGGACAATTCGATAACGATTTATCGTGTATATGATAACAAAATATTTTAAAAAATCAAATCAGATGACGTCATGTTTTTCCATGATTATGACGTCATCTGATTTGATTTGTCAAAATATCTTGTTATCGCATAACTGATCAATCGTTATCGAATCGTATCTAATGTAAAAACTTCTCTTATTTCTTTTACTTTCTATATGAACAATTGCTTTTCAGCTTTTTTATCGTTATCGTTGAAGTATAAACAGGCCTTAAGACAGATTCAAATAACTGACTGCCATTGTAGGCATGGTACTGTACGTAAAAAAAAAACTTTTGTAATGAAAGTTTTTAAAGCAAATGAGGCTTGCCATCCCAAAACCAGTATCAGTGACCAATGATTGGTCATTTACTGAAATTTACTTACCATTGCCAAAGTTATGAGTATTAATAATAATAATAATATGTCGTTCTTATATAGCGCTTCATGCCTTTACAAGGCCTCTAGGCGCTTTACATTACTACCCCCGTCATTGGATCAAACACATATGGAACACATTGAAACACCAAATTAAATTAGTAAATGAAATTATATTATCATTCCATAAATTGCAGCTAGTAATCAGCGCAGGTTGTGTTGGAACCTACCAGGTACCCACTTGTACTCCTGGGTGGAGGGAGGCAACCGTAGATAAAGTGCCTTGCCCAAGGACACAAGCGATTTGCACAGCCAGATTTTCGAAAACCCTCAACCTCAAGGTTGGGAGTCCAAGCCACAACCGGTGCGCCAACAGCTTCTCTGTACTATATTATACAATACTGTCACATTCTTATGCTAATTACTCAGTTTAACATTACAGTATACACCATTTTATCTGGTCTATTTTGAAACAGCGCCACCAACGTCTTGTAATTTTCACTGGGGTCACTTCCAGCACCCTAGCCTGAGCAAATTTCATTTTTTCAGACACGTATCTTTTTTTGAGTACTTCGACAACCAAAAATACTGCAGGTTTTATGCGCCCTATTTTCTATTTTTTTTTTTTGGTTTTCAGCATTTTAATTTCAATGACTAGCCTAGGCCTAGGGTAACTCACCACAACAAGAAGGTTGCACACCAGTCACAGATAATACATAGATAGGGAAATTCCTAGGCCTCTGGAAATTCCCCAGAGGTAGTTGCCAGGTTCTTAAAAAATGGTGTATAGCAACAGTATGCTGGATTTTGGATGACATGCCTCAAATACACATACGTAATTATCTTATTACTTAATATCATGGCAAGAAAATAACATTTTAATTATATTGAATTCAGCTGAACTTTTAGCCAATCAGAACCTGGTAACAGTTTGTCCTAAAGAGGGTGCTCTTACTTTGATTTCTTTTGCAATTCTTCCACTAGCTGATTCATGTGGTCTTGCATAAAGTCCATTTTTTCCTTCTTTTTGTGCATTGCCTTCTGAAGTCGGATGATCTTATCCACTAGCATTGCTTTGTTTACACCAGGGAAGTCACCCGCGCTGCCTGAACGATCTTGAGGCTGCGAAAGCAGAGTGAATTATCCATGTTAATTCATTCATGTGATTTAAAAAAAAAAACATATACAGTATAACAAAATAAAATAATAAATTATCTAAGTGGACATGGACTAATACACTTTGGACATATTAATCAAAAATTATGAATTCATAGATATAGATTGAACATACAGTAAATATAAATTATGATAACATAAATTGTAACTCGAGATCATAACTATTCTTGCTAACAAACAAGACACACTGACAGGCAGACAGCAGTGAACATAAATTATGATAGCATAACAATAACTTAAGTGTCAATCCATACAGTGTACACCTAATCTTGCTAACCGACAGGCAGTGATAAATACACATCTTCCATATTGGAGGTAAAAAAGCAAAATATAATTAAAATTAAAAATTATACAAAACAAAATAATGAGTAAAAATGTTTATGGAGTAAGATATGGTTGCAGTTTTAGAATCTGTTAGCAAGAAAATTAAAATTCTGGAAGAAAATAAGAGAGGAAAGAAGAAGAAAAAAGAAGATAAATCAGTCATTTGTTAAACAATTTAACTGCCACAAACCTGTGTGGGACTCTCCGTTCTCCTGTATCCATCAGCATCAAGAGCAGGGGCAGCGACCCCCTGACTATTAGCTGGAGGCAGAGTGTCTAGGGATCCATTTGAGCTGGTACGGGATCCTATGCTAAGGCTGTCTTTGTGGCCGTTCTCCGGGTTCTCAAATGTTTCTAAGCGTTTACGAGCTTGCTGAAGTTGCCTAGTAATATCCTGTGGTCAAAGTACAATACAAAATTAATTCTCACAAATGTAATAAATATTCAATAATAATAACAATGATAATAATAATAATAGTAAATTAATGGAAGTAAATGGCAAAATAACTACACTTATTAACCCTTTCAAGTCTGCCCCATTACCATTGCCTGAGGCTGTACCAAAGCTGGGAAATTACATAATCTACACTAAAAGTTGGGTTTTTACTGGGCGCAGGCATTTTACTTGGTCTAAATACAGGAGGCCCTCAACAGAAATACTCCTACATCACACTCAAATCCTATAGAGGGCAGCCTAGCTATAAAATAATTATCATGAAAGCTATACAGGGCGTACGTACGACGCCCCTCGCTATAAATTATGGTCGAAGAGAGCGTTGTCGCGACGCCATATGACTGGAAAGGGTTAATTAACAAGCATTAATTTGTCCATTATATGAACAAAATTCTTGCTTTTTTTTTTTATTTATACATTGCTTTCACTGGTCCAATTTTGTGCACTCTCTTTCATATCAACTAAAATTCAATGCCACTCAGCACCCTCATTTTGGGAATCCTTCGTACACCATGCCACTGCTCACACCACATTTAGAGTATCCTTCAATTGTTTTGATGAAAATTAACAAAACCGAAACATTAACACGGAAGGCAATAATCAACACCAGATTTATAGATTGGGTCATAATACAACATCGATCTTGGTTTATTCAAAAATCAAATAAACGTGAGACAACCCCTACCTTCATGTTAGCAACATGCTTTCTCTTCAGGGTTTTATTGTCATCTCTAGCATCTTCTAGCTGGATTGTTAATTGTTCCACAGCTTTGGATTTCTCGTTCACTTTGGTCCTGAGAAGTTCACTCTCTTCTCCATGGAACTGTTTTAATGAGGTCAGTTCAGAAGTCTACAAGAAAGAACCAAGATTATAATCATAATCATCATCACCGAAAAATTGTTTGAGCTTGGCGCCAAGGCCGACTGTTCCATTATATTTTGAGGGGTGTTCTATTTTGAGGAGAATAGACAATTAGCTGGTTTATCCAGGTAAGCATTCACATATGCTGTATATTAACTAAAATATCACCATTTACTGCAATAACTTATTATTAACATATTAGTTATTTAAATGCCAAGGTTAATATCACAAGGCATGATAATACATATACTCTATGCCAGAAATAATAAATGTTTATACATTCTGTTTCTCTCTTAAAATAGAGGTAATAAATATTTAGGAGATGGTAGGTAATAAAGTAGAATCATATTCATATTCTCACATGGGTCTATCTATTTTACTATTGCTACTCTGTAATACATTTGTAAACAGAAAACAAAATCATAATTTCAGTCTATAATAATATTTTTAGACACTAAATTTGGCGCCAATTAATAGATATGAGGCATGCCATCCACAAAACCAGTGTACTGTCGCATTATGTTAAACTCATTAATAAGCATTAACCCCTGGACAGACTATCAAATTTCATTTGACAAAATACACATGTGACATGCCCGAATATGGTGATGATTACATAACATCATGACCATATATAGGCATATCATGACTATATATGGACACACAAGTTTTTTTTTTAAAGAAAATTTGATAGTCTGTACAGAGTTTTAGAATGTGGCAGTGCTGTATACTTAGAATACTTTTACTCATTCAAGTAAATGACCTATATATATATATATATAATATATATATATATATATAATATATATATAAAATATATATATGTATATATATGTAGTATATATAGTATATATATATATATATATATATATATATATATGTATATACTCAATAATCAGAAAACAATTCAAATAGGCGAATACTTGATACAACTATACAGACACATGCCTACAAAACCCAACACTCCTAATTTAAAAAAAAACAAAAAAAACATTTGAATACACTTATTTACATCTAACATGAATTTGTATAAACTTGCTTCTCCTTTGGGAGGTTTATGGAAATAAATAAGATAAATAAATACAATAAACTTGTATATATAAACTAAAAATTATAACAAAGTTAAAACCTCCAAAATTCCTTACCAATTAAAACACATTTATAAAGCTATAGTCTTTGTATACTTTATATGGTATATTTAAATGAGCCACTTAAGTATTTCCCATGACATTTTAAGTTATTTTGTTAACGATTTTAGGTGGCAGATTTTTATATTAAATCTATATTTGATGGTTATTTTTTCCAGACTTTACTACAAACTTTGCAAAGAAGTGAGAAGGTATCTCACTGACAGCAGAGAAATTCCAAAAAATTACCTTCTTGCATATGACAAGCAGCACTAAGTTTTTTTTAATTAATTTATTTTACATTTTAAAATTTTTCAATTTAATTAATTAATATATTTTTTATACACAGAATCAACTGAATAAATATTGATTTATTTGTATTACATTTTCTTGAAGTGTAGTGTTTTCTGAGTGCAGATCAGCATTTTTTACAGTAATCTTCTCAGTAAATCTCAGTAGGTCAGCTTCTTTCTGTCGCATAGTCGTAAGGTCAGAGTTTAGATCCATGTTATTAGAATGTAATGTTTTCACCTCTGCGCCAAGCTTCGCTATGGTCTCCCTCTCACTGCAATAGATATGTAGGATAAATTATATGTAAACATAGTGTTATATTCAAGAATATGCATACACAAGGCAGAATACGGAACCAACAACTTAATATCATATCAATCAATCAATCATTTTTTATTTCCAATTCAAAAGAATTTACAACAGATAAGTAGTAACATTGAAAATCAAAATCAAAGGAATTGGAAAAGGGCAAACATAACAAGAAGAACTTTAAGCATAGCCCAAATAATAATAAGAATAACAATAATAATAATAATAATAATAATAATAATAATAATAATAATAATGATAATAACAACAATAACAATACATCAATAACAATAATAACAAAAATAATAAAGTAATAATAATAATATACACGAATGTTATAGAAATATTTCAATTAAGTGAATCAATAAATCGATAAGGGATGAAACAACAGACTGATTTAAGCGACCATAATACAAGTATGATCATGTGACATATCATTGAGACAATATACGGTGATCAATTAAAAGTATAGGAAAAAGAAATGATATGATTTAAAAAACAACAGTCCACTGGAAACGTGAGAATTACATGGCAAGGAAAGACAATGCAATCATTTCAATATTCTCTGTGTAATTTAGGCCTTAAAATTCACATAAAACTTTTTGAAACTTGAGCTACCCTTGAAATTGTAGTGGGTTCCACTTGCAGTACATGGCTGGCGGAACTGGGAGAGGGGGAAGGGGGTGGCATCACCGGGGCCCCAACTTTTTGGCAAAAAATACATTATGTTTGTCTATGATCGGAAAGAAATGCAAGAAAAGGAAGAAGGAAGAAAGAGAAGGATGGAAAAAAGAATGTTTATCCAGTCCCAGACCGAGTTACATTTTCTTGCAATTCACATTGGCGGATCTGGGGGAGGGGGTCATGGGTCCTGACCCTTCCCTTGGGCAACAAAAAAAAAAGGAAAAAAAAAAAGAAGAATTCTAGACCTACATTTTCAGGACCCGTGATCTGTTTTTTTTATTTTTTTATGTTACATTAAGAAAATTAGAATTTTGAAGAACATAAAAGTCATTAAAACACACTTCAAATATTGGGAAAGCTCATTCATCTAGGAATAAAAATTTTCCCGGGGGAGAACCCCCGGACCACCCTTTCTTTTTGGGATTTATCGATTCATGGAAAAAAGAATACGCATGTAACTACTCATTTATTTATGTATGTATACACACATAAAATAAAAAATGAGAAAAATTTACCTGACCGTCTTCAAGAGGGAAAAACCTTGAATTTTGAAGAACTTAAAAAGTCATTTAAAAGACGTTTCCGAAGTCAGGAAAGCATATTTCCCGCATTCTATAAATTGAAATTTTCCCGGGGGAACCCGGACCCCCTTTTTTGGGGTTTCATCGATTCATTGAATCATTTTCAAGAGGGGGGAATCTTGAATTTTAAAGAAATTAAAAGTAATGAAAAGACACTTTAGAAGTCGGGAAAGCCCATTTCCCGCCTTCTAGGAATCAACATTTTTCTGGGGAAACCCGGACACCTTTTTCTTTGGGGTTCATTGATTCATTGACTTATATTCAAGAGGTGGAAAACCTTGAATTTTAAAGAAATTAAAAGTAATTAAAAGACACCTCAGAAGCTCATTTCCCGCCTTCTGGAATCAAAATTTTCCCGGGGGAGAACCTCCGGACCCCCTTTCTATTTGGGATTTATCGATTTATGAAAAAAAAATTGTATCCAACTACTCAATATTTTTTATATGTATGTATACACACATAAGGCCTATTTACTGTAATAACAAGTGGAAAAATTTACCTGACCGTTTTCAAGAGAGGAAACCTTGAATTTTGAA